GGGGCAAAATTGCACAAACTGTGCAAAACAATCACTCTTTGCTGGCAAAGAGAGAGGAATCGCTCTTTCCACCCTCATCTCGCATTATTCTTATAAAAGAGGTAAATGTCGAATCTGCTTTTTGACGGATGCGGTGTGTTGGAGAACGGACGCGAATCCATCACATTGGATACAGGGCGATACGCTGTTAGAAGGAGAATAATTAGAGGCGTAGTGGGTTGGATGCGACAACGCTACACGATGGATGTGACGAAAGCTACACGATGGATGCAACGGTAGAGAGTGCTCTAAATTGGGGGAGTGGTGGATACACGGGATTCGGGAATTTGAAATTTCAAACAAAGGAGAAATTCAGTTTTTCCTGACCTTTATGAATTTCGAATCCGATGCGCCCTTTTCCAGGACTCAAATGAGCCTTTCGTCCACAGCACCAGAGTTGCCACCAATTCCAGTTAGTTAGCAACAGGGAATAGCAATCCGAAGGTGCTATGTTCTCTTCGCGATTCCCGTTCTTCAAACCACCACAGACAAAGACAGGAAACAGACTGAGAGACGTATTGCTACTTAGTAGCAGCTATTGTAGAAGGGCTTGACATACCCATCATCATCATTATCATCACAACCGCTAATAACTGGAAGACTCTTTTTCAATTCCATGTTTTGTAGGAGAACTATACAAATGGCGCGTTACTCTGCTACCCCCGCTAACGAGGCAAAGTCTGCCAAGTGCCGTGGCTCAAACCTCATTGTTCACTTCAAGAACACTGTTGAGACTGCCAACGCCATCAAGGGCCGCAAGCTCCTCAACGCTGTGTCGTACCTGAAGGACGTCCAGGAGCACAAGCAGTGCATTCCCTTCCGCCGCTTCCACCGCGGTATCGGCCGCACTGCCCAGGCCAAGGCCTTTGGTGCTACCCTTGCCCGCTGGCCTGCCAAGAGCGTCAAGTTTGTGCTTGATCTGCTCCAGAACCTGCAGGCCAACGCCGAGAGCAAGGGCCTGAACGCCGAGGAGCTGGTCATCAAGCACATCCTGGTCAACCCTGCTGCCAAGAGAGGACGTCGCACCTACCGCGCCCACGGTCGCATCAACCCCTACAAGAGGAGCCCTTGCCACATCGAGATCATCGCCTCGGAGGAGAACAAGAACGTCGAGAAGGCAAAGGAGGACAGCACTGCTGTTGTTTTCCAGACCCGCCAGCAGCTTGCTGCCAAGCGTCTCCGTGCCAGCCGCAAGTAAATTTGTTTGTTTGCTGAGAGGGAAAAATCGAATATCAAATCCAATTAATTGGGTCAAGCCAAATCTTTTCTGTCAAATAATGCCAAGACTTAGGGAATGACTTGCCACCTTCCGCAGCATGCTTTGTGTACAAACTATGATGTAGTAGATGTGGGGCAGTTAGCAGTGTCGTCGTCGGATGATACAGAGAGCCATGACAAATGCGGACAGAAAAACCGCGTCAGATGGGGTGCAAGACAATAATGCAGAATACTAAAAATAGAAAAATTGTATGCAAAAATAGATGGCGGCAAATGCAAAGCCATTTATCATGAAGGGCAGAGAAAATTCGTGAAAATACAAGCATGGATGGTGCGCAATAGATGCGTATGCAAGAGATACCCGGAAAGCTTGGCGAATGGAAATTCTCGAACTCCATCCACGCTATTCTAAGCTACAGTGAAGATCTTTAGCTCATGGTCCCGACATTGGCATGCGGTACACGTGGAAGGCCTACGTAATGGTTGGACACATTAAGGAAGGAGGGGTCACAGTAGAGTTAGATTGGTTTGTGCAGCCACTTTACGCCAGGTTGGTTTTTTTGACAAAAATACGGCGTCATTGAAAGAGTGAAACACGGAAGACAAGTGCGGAACTTTCTCGATCTTGTTGGGGTGGTTGGATGAGCGTAGAAGGAAGGTGGCAACGTCAACGTTCTATATAAAGCGCAGGGATCCATCGCTTCCTCCATTTGACAATACCTTTGTTCTCAATCCCATCCATTAGCTTCTATTCACCTTACATTTTATTTCCACAATATGAACACCAAGTTTTCGCTCGCACTCCTCGCAGTCCCTGCCGTTGCCCTTGCCAGCGGCGACAACGCCAACAACCGCAGAGATCTGGACAACGTAATCAGCAACGTTGGCAGCATATTCAATGTGGTCACATCGGATGCAGCCAGCCTGGTCAGCAAGGTTACGGAAGGCGCTGTCAGCGAATACAGCCGGGTGCAGTCTGACTTTGAGGCGGGTCAGAACGGATCTGACAGTAGCTCGGAATCTGATGATAGCAAGAGCTCTGACGCATCATCGCGGGCCACCTATGCCAGCATTGCTGGGTTTGCTGCCATTGTTGCGTTCACTCAGCTTGTGTAAACAAAAAAGCACCCTTTCCTTTCTTTTTCTTTATCGTGTTTGCTATTGACTAGCATTTGAATAAATATCCATTAGTCTTTTAGTCATTGATTCTCGAGGAAGAAAATCAGTTACTTTTTGTTTTTCTTCCAGGCATCATGCTCCAGCGTGCACTTGATCTTTGAGCACAGCGGAGTAACAACACCGTGCTTGCGCTCGACCTTGCTGAAGAACTGCAGACCGGCAGCCTTCTCGATAGACTCTAGTGGGATACTAAAGTCGGATAGCGGGGTAGAGTTGTCGATCTCCTTGTTTGGCAGAGCGAATGCGCCGATAGCAAAATCCGGCTCGTTTTTGCGTTTGGCAAGGATGACTTTGAAAAAGTGGGTGGGGACAGCAACGTTGGGCGGGTTTCCGATGACCTGGTAGCTGACAACCCACTTATCACCGACCTTTTCGGGCAGATACAAGGGACCGGAAATACAGTAGACGTCGTCAAAAGACTTTGTCATGTCGCGCACGAAGCTCTCGAGACTGGCCCAGTAGTTGCGATTGAAGCCCTTGCCCACCTGGGGCGCAATGTTGGTCAGCATGAAGGTTTCGTTCATGGACTCGGTATCCTTTTTGGCATCGGCGGCAGGACACATGTGGCCGCGATCGAAACCAGAGCGGTAGTAGTCCTTGAGGAGCGCGCGGAAGGGCCCAGGAACTGCAGGATCTTCCTTGAACTCGGAGGATGCCCGGTCGGCGGAACCCTTGAGGTTGTCGCGTGTCAGATGCTCGGCTACCCAGTTCGGGTTTCGCAGGGCGCGGTTATATGAGGCGGCGTACCGTGAGCGCAGCAAAAAGTCCGACACTGGACCGGGGTCGCCATAGACAAGGAACTCGTTGGCTGTGTGGTCCGTTGACGACGATGATTCCTGCTGGCGCTTCGCAAAGTGTTGTTGAGGAGGCTGAATTGGCTGGACTGGAGGGACAGCAACAGGCGAGGCTTGGTGGTTTGGCCTCACCAGGGCGTATATAGCACCACCGCCGACGACGGAACCGGCAACAAAGGCCAGCAAACGATGCATAAGGAATGATTTGAAACAAGAAAAAAAGACGGAATTGGCAAGACATGAAAAAAGGAACAAGGGAGATATCATCAGCAGACTTGCTGAATCGATAAGGGAGAGCCACCAATTTGCTCTACTGCTCTCCTCGCTTCTTCCGCTCTTGTATATTTTATTAAATAAATATACAAACTATTTTGCAGATATGTCAGTTCAGCTATCGGTCCAGCGGTTTATCGAGTACCTGCGCATCAAGACGGTACAGCCAAAACCCGACTACGCCAGCTGCCAAAAGTTTCTGGAGCGACAGGCAGCAGAGATAGGCCTCGAGTGCCAGGCACACGAATTTGTGGCAGGCAAACCAGTGGTAGTTTTGACGTGGGAGGGCACATGCCCGGAGCTGCCCAGCATCATCCTCAACTCGCACACTGACGTAGTGCCAGTGTTTGAGGAGTTTTGGACGCATCCGCCGTTCGAAGCGGCGCGGGTGGCAGAGGGCGACGATTTCAAAATCATTGCGCGCGGGGCGCAGGACATGAAGATCGTCGGGCACTGCTACCTGGAGGCGGTTCGTCTGCTCAAGGCGCGGGGCGAGCGGCTGCAGCGCACAGTGCACCTGGTGTTTGTTCCAGACGAGGAAATCGGCGGCCATGATGGCATGGCGCACTTTGTAGAGTCTGAGATGTTCCGCAGTCTTAATGCCGGGTTTGCGCTGGATGAAGGTATGGCCAATCCGGAGGCGCCTGTGCGTGTGTTCTATGGCGAGCGTGCGCCATGCTGGGTGCGGTTTGTGGCGCGCGGCAACACCGGCCATGGCAGCCAGTTCATCGAGAATACAGCTGCCGAGAAGCTGCTGCCGATCGTCCAGCAGTTGATGGATCTCCGCAGCGAGCAGCTCCGCATCTTCCGCACGCCAAAGGACGACGGGTCGCCACGTACGCTGGGCGATGTCACCACCACTAACCTGACGATGATGAAGGCGGGTGTACAGCACAACGTTGTCCCCGAGAACGCTTCTGTGTGCTTCGACATCCGCATGGCTCCAACCATCGACTACGCCCAGTTCAGACTGCGCTTGGAGACCCTGGCTGCAGACCATGGCGCCGAGGTCGAGTTTGTGCAGTTCTGGCCGGACAACTCCATGACATCCACCGATTCAACTAACCCATTCTGGGTCGCCTTTGAGCGCTCCCTTGCCGCCATGGATATCCCCATCTTTAAGGAAATCTTCCCGGCTGCCACCGACTCGCGCTATCTGCGCCGCGCCGGCGTTCCTGCGCTGGGAGTCACGCCACTGCGCAATGCTCCCATCCTTCTCCACGACCACAACGAGTTTGTCAAAGAGAGCGAGTTCCTGGCTGGCATCGACTTTTACGTCAACGTTATCACCGCCGTCGCGAACGTTATCTAAGAACTGCTGATTTCCATTATGAGATAATATATTGTATTGCAGTTGAACTAATCAATAAACAAAAACAGAGCACTTTTCGAAAAGAAAAAAATCGGCGATAACCACACACCGGTCATGGATTCTAGTCTATTACATCAAAAATTATATGCCGCGTGACTCCCATTTGCTGGAGCTGCAAAAAGGGCTGTTGACGATGGGATTCGAACCCATGCATCTCGCGATATTGCAACTTGAGTGCAACGCCTTAGACCGCTCGGCCACGTCAACTGGAAAAGTTACTTTTAGAACAGAATCCGGTCTAAATAGCATTCCAGATTTCGAGAAGCAATAATTGTAGTCACTTTAAAATAAAACATTATACAAAGTCCCCCTCGCGATTTATCTATTATTCAGCAACTACTCAACTATCCAGCGACGCCGAACCGGGATGCCGTTTGGGCGTCTGTGAAGCTTGGCGATGCTCCCCTGGAATGCTACACCCCTCGCGACGGCCGCCACTATGCTGCCAAAGCGACAGAATGTGCAATCAAGTGGAACAAGTGGAT